TAATACATAATCATATTCAATGGTCTTAAACTTTAATACTTTAATATTTAATGCATTTATATATATATATATATATATAATAAAACAGCTAATATATATCTCTTGTCATATTCAGTCTTATTTTTATTTATTTATTATTATAGAAATAAAAAAGTTAATATACAAAGTTACTTAAGTAACATATTAAATTTTGAAAATATATTTAAAAGATATTTAAAAGATTTACTTAAATTATTTTATTTTTTCAGATAACTTACGAAATGAAATCAAAGAAGGCTCTAATACTCAGGTCTCAACTGCTTTGCCACAACCACGCAGCGATTCATATGTTATTTCTGCAGAAAAGTATTTTCTGCCATTTGAATTGGCTTGTCAAAGCAAATCACCAAGGATTGTAGTTACTGCTCTGGATTGTTTGCAAAAATTAATTGCATATGGACATCTTACAGGAAACATACCTGATTCTACAGAACCAAATAAATTATTAATTGTTCGCATTGTTGAGACAATATGTGGATGTTTCATGGGACCACAAACAGATGAAGGAGTTCAATTGCAGATTATAAAAGCTCTTCTTACAGTAATGACCAGTCAACATGTAGAAGTTCATGAAGGTACTGTTTTGCTTACTATACGTACAGTGTACAGTGTTTACTTGGCTTCGAGGAATCTAGTAAATCAAACTACTGCTCGAGCTACACTCACTCAGATGATTAATGTTATTTTTGCACGTATGGAGACACAGGCAGTAAGTTTATCAATTATCTAATATAAAACTATTTAAACATTTATAAAAATAATTTTGATTTTTATATTCTAGGAGGAAGAAACAGTTCGAACCGAAATAGAATCTGAAACAAGCAACATGAATTCTACTAATTGTAATTCTGGTGGTGATATTGAAACTGAGACAGTGAATCATGAAGAATCATCAATGGAGAATAATCAAGAACCACAGTTAATAGTTCGAGGAATTTTGGAAGATGTCGTAAATTCCATTATTCCTGAAGATTCAACAAATACAACTATAATAACATCAGAAGAAGCCAGCTTAGATCAAGTGCCTATAGACGAAAATTCTGATGAAGCAGTTGCAGAAAATGACAATATGGTTCGGGCAAAATTCACGCATGTATTGCAAAAGGATGCTTTCTTGGTCTTTAGAGCACTTTGCAAACTTTCAATGAAACCACTTCCTGATGGCACTCCAGATCCCAAGTATGAAAAATTTTTTAATTAATAGGATATTTTAGTATTAGTATAGAAAAATATTTTCGAAAAACTTATAATTTCTTTTTAAAATACATTTTTTATAATATATTCTTTCTAGGTCTCATCAATTAAGATCGAAGATTCTTTCTTTGCAATTGCTTCTTGGTATACTACAAAATGCTGGACCAGTATTGCGTTCTAACGAAATGTTTGTTATAGCCATAAAACAATATCTCTGTGTGGCATTGTCGAAAAACGGTGTCTCTTCTGTTCCTGAAGTATTTGAATTGTCTCTGGCATTGTTCCTCGCACTATTGGCTCGTTTCAAAGTGCACTTAAAGATGCAAATAGAAGTTTTTTTTAAAGAAATTTTCATGAACATTCTCGAGACTTCCAGTAGTTCCTTTGAACACAAATGGATGGTAATTCATGCTTTGACTCGCATTTGTGCGGATGCACAAAGTGTTGTAGATATATATGTAAACTACGATTGTGATCTGTCAGCTGCAAATCTATTTGAAAGGTTTGTAAAAAAAATATACATAAATTCGTTGAATAAATTGAATTTATTATTATTATTATTTTTATTTTTATTTATTTATTTTTTTCATTATAGACTTGTGAATGATTTATCAAAGATTGCACAGGGTAGACAAGCTCTAGAATTAGGTGCTTCACCCAATCAGGAGAAATCAATGCGGATTAGGGGTCTTGAATGTTTGGTATCAATTTTAAAATGTATGGTCGAATGGAGCAGAGATTTATATGTGAATCCTAGTGTTCCAGCTGATCAACAATTTCCATCTGAACCTCCTGATCCTCCAGTGGAACCTCTACTTCCTCGTTATGGAAGTGCTGGCAGTCTCTCTTCGGCAAATTCTAGTTTAGTAGGTAATAAAGAGATCCCAGATTCTCCTGAGCAA